CAGACGAGAGACGGAGAAGGACAAGACACCTGGCTTGACCAAGAAAGAGCTTTGTATTTTTCCTGTATTCCTTTTGTCTTCGAACGGATTGGCGAACCCGGATAGCTTCTACGTGGATTAAGTTCGAGAAAGAGGAGGATTCGGCTTCAGATGAGACGGAGCTGGGGCGAATTCGGCGCGCAGGACAGTAAGACGCAGGTGCAGACGATACTCTTGGATTCACTCGGAATCATCAGCATCGAATAGAGAGGAAACCAATGTCAGCTGAGGATTATCCCCGGAATGTGTCCGAAACGGAATCTTGCTCACGTCAGTGTCCCCATAGCTGTTCGACTATGCGGTTACCGAGGTCCGAGCAATCAGCCGCGAGTAGATTAAAATTCATGATCCGGTCAACCTCAGCACAGCATCCAAGCGGAGCTAGAGATAATCATTTCGAGGATGTCTGTGTATGCCTCGATTATGAGGTTCTCACAGACCATATCGGCGGGAGTACCTTGCCCCCGACTTCAAAGATTTCTTCCGCACGGCAATCTACAATACTGACCTTCACGGAGCGAACTCCTCAACGAATTCCACGAGACCCGAAGGGAGAATCTCTCTGGTGCCTTCGTCGCGTTGTTGTTGTTGCTGCTGCTGCTGCTGCTGCTGCTGCTGTTGTTGTTGTTGTCGCTGCTGTCGTCGTTCTTGCAGCAGCTCCTCCAGAAGACGATCTATGTGTTGTTGTTGTCGTTGTTGCTGCTCGTGATGTTGTTGCTGCTGTTCTCGCAGCTGTTCTTGTAGACGATGACACAATCCTCGCCAATAATTTCTATCCGACTCGAGATCGTCTATCCTTCGTTGTTGTTGTTGTTCTTGGATACGTCTCTGCAAGAATGGAAATGTCCGTTTAAGAAGGGACTAAGGCCGCGACTTGTCAGTTCGTTCTTGAGGCACTACATTCGGCGAATTGACAAGCTTCAATTGCCATGGACGTAGATGCCCCAAATCATGTACAATAATCTCAATAATATTTCCATCTGAGTGTCTCAATGCGATTGCAGGAGGGACAAGACACCTGGCTTG